GCCTGATGAGTGGGGTCTAGCCAGTCACTAGGGTCAGTCACTAATCTCTGGGTCCATTGAGTAAGGACCTGTATCATTGAGTTTCAGCTTCCTTTTTTTCCTTATTCAGTTTCCATAACTTTGCCTCTTTGGAGGGCGCTGTCCTGCTTTCCGGGAACCTGACTTATATAATGACAATTTTTCTAGCCTCTATGTGGAGCTGGAAATCTTTGCTCTCATCCTGGGCCATATTTAGAGATTTAACATGAAAGTCCTCAGCTCTCTTCATGATTGCAAAGCGTGATCCAGCATCTTCACGCATCAATTTGCTAAAACAGAAGAGTTTCTATTTAGAGCCGAGACCACATCGCATGTGAGGAACTTGAACTCTCTGGTGCTTTTTTGCACCCGCCTTGTTCTGGTGACATGCTCTTGGGTCCCAAGTATTTTCCAGGGGAGGTCACACTGCTAGGCCAACACTTAGGGATGAGATGTCAGCCCCGTCCTAGGAGGACTGCTGCTTAGCCCCAGGTCCCTTTCTGCTGCCTGGGGCGGGGTGGGGGGGCGGGGAGGCATCTTATTTAAAACTCTTTAAACAGTTAGTAATCATTTATACTGAACACCTCTTCCCAGGACTCTCTCTAACCACCTGAGAAGAATTCATACTAATAATAAGAGCAATAATGACAGCTAACATTTATTGAGTAGTTTTCATGTGGTAAACATTGTGCTCAGAATAAACGTTTATCTGCTCTTTTTAATTTATCCTTTATAACCCTGTTAAGTAGGTGATGCTATCAACCACATTTTATACCTGAGGGAACTAATGCCCAGAGAGGTTAAGAACCCAGGTCTGTGGCAGAAGCTCGTGCCCTTAAGGACTATATCACACCTCCTCCCATTCGTAGAAAACTAGATCAAGGCCTTATCCTTCCTTATAAAAGTGTTGCAGAATGGCTAACAGGTTTTCCAGGGATTCCAGAGTCATCTGGATGAGCAATATTTTTCAAAACATTGTCTGTGGACCACCTGCATCAGAATTACCCCAGCTGCTTGTTAAAATCGCAGACATGCTGAATCACAGACTCTGGGAATAGGGCCAGGGAATCTGCATTTTTAGAAAGCTCCCCCAGGGATTCAGATGGACTCTAAAGTCTGATAAACACTGCAACCGAGTATTTGCATTGGCATACAAATCACAGTTTCTGGGTAGACCTGAAACCAAAAAACGGGATTCGCGAGGCTCTGCGGCAGGTACTGGGCAAACTTCTTCTATGAAGGGCCAGGCAGTAAATAGTTTAGGCTTTGTGGGCCATACAGGTCCCTGTTGCATCTTCTCAACTCTGCCCTTGTCACGCAAAAGCAGCCCCAGACAGTCTGAAACCAAAGGGCGTGGCTGTGTTCCAGTAAAACTTTGTTTTTAAAAACAGGCAGTGGGCTGGATTGGGACATAGTTTGCCAACCCCTGATAGAGTCATCCTGGCCTGCCAGCCCTCTGACAACCGCTTTTTGGGGGAGTTATTCTTATACGACTTTCTCTTAGCTTTGGAGAGCTATATCAATTAAGATAAAATTGCCTGTGGTAATAGATAAACCTTGAACCTTAGTGACTTAAAACAATAAAAATTATTTCTTAATTATATCACAGCCCGGTGAGGGTATTCCTACTTGGGATCTTCTAAATGGTGATTTAGGGGCCACGGTTCTTTCCTATTGTGGTTTCACCCCTCTTGGTCTGCACAGCCCTCACCTCAGCAGGTGGATGAGGAAAGAGAGCGAGGATTATTCACGAGAAACTTTTATGGACTAGGTCTGGAAGAGGTAGCCATCATTTCTACCCACATTTCGTTGGCCAGAACTCTTATTGTTTGGGGTGCAGAAACAGAGTGATTTCTCAAGCCTGTGAGGCCTTTGGTCTCTAGACTCTCTCTACTCCCTTCTGTCTTTGCTTGAAACCCCTCCAGTTCTTGCCTGGGCTCATCTCTTTCTTGTAAAAAACCGTGCTAAGGTCAGCCAATAGGAGCCAGCACACAGCGTCATTCTGATCTGTCTAGCCACTTTCCCTAGAGCTGCAGGCTCAGAAGGCATGGGTCCAGGTGCAAATTACCATAGGTGCAAGTTTTACCAGCTATTTTGCTACTGTATAACATAGGTCTCCATCTTTCTAGCCTCTGAGATCAATTTCCTCATTGGCTGCTGCCTGCCTACTAAGCCGGTGCCACATATTTTAGGTTGTTGCTATGGTAGCACACCACTGCAAGATACCAACTTCTGCATTAGTTCAGGTAACACCATGGCAATGTGGTAAATGCACAGTCTACGTGATTAATACAACTAAATGTTTATTTCTTGCTCACACTGTATTATAATACAGATGTTCTTGGAGGTGTGACCTTCCACTTGGTCATTCAGAGACCCAGGTTTTTTCCATCTTGAAGCTCTCCCTACTGCAAGTCCTTATGGTCCTCTCCATCCAGCTGGCCGTGGGGAGGGAGAGCAGGCGCCTCCCATGGGATGTGCCTGGAAGTCGTGCACAGCACTTCTGCCCACATTCTCTTGGCCAGAGCTCAGTCACATGGTCACACTTACTGCAAGAAGGGCTAGGAGATGTAGTCTTAGCGACAGTCTAAGAAGAAAAACGAACAGGTTTTGGCATGCACGTGGCAATGTCTGCCTCTTGGGCCAAGACTGTCTGGACTGAAGGAATAATGTGGCTCAGCAGGGAGGATGTCAACAGGCAGCCTGCCTCGGTGCTCACAAAGGGTGCAATCAGGCAGTAGCTAGTAAGAGCCAAAAGATGTGCAAATACCTTCGTTAATGCAACACACATGTACTGCATGTCCACTCTGTGCCAGGCGGTGGGCCAGACACTGGGGACCTGGAGGAGAACAAAGCTGCTTTTGGGGCTCTGGGTGACCCCCTCCAATCGCACCTCTTGTGCTGGGTGCCAAGAGGCCAGAGAGCCTGGGGAGGGAGGAGGGGAGTGCGGAGGGCTTTTAACATGGCTGGCTTGCGTGCCTCCTGCAGCCTTAGAAATGTACTCCATATAATTCAGCCTGGCTCCCACCATTCGCAAGCGCTGTCTCTGCAGTGTATTGGATGAAATGTAATTAGAGGGGGAAAAGGGCAACCGACAGCAGATGTTCTATTTATATTTCTCTTGGTTGTTTTCATAGGACGTTGTTTTCCCTCTGTGAGGCTTCTAAGGAGGTGGTTGCTCCAGGACCTAGGTTGTCATCTTTTTTGTGTGTGTTTCTGGCTGTTGGCAAATGTAGGGAGCTGGCACTGTCTTAGAACCCCCTTGGTGGTGCTGAGGGAGCACAGGGAGGAGCCCAGTGCCCGGCATCCTTGCTCTTTTCATGTTATTGGCCATTCGTGTTAGAAGCTGCTGCTGATGTTGATGACTGCGTAGTGGGCCCAGCTGAAACTGAAGACGTGGGCTGAGATCTGGGCAGATAGAGCTTTCAGTCAATGGCCACTGAGCGTCCACTCTGTGCCCAATCTCTGCCCAAGTGCGTGGACACTCCTCTCCCGGGAGCCCACTCTCTCTCTCAGGCCTTCAGGCGAAGGATCTTGAAACTGTTATGTAGGGCAATGGCATATTCTCCAGAAGGGTTATCAAAATGGGCTAAGAAAATGGGCATAAAGGACATATTTAACACAGACCAGAATAGGCCATGGAGGGAAGTTTTTAAATCTCTTTCTGAGATTTTTTGGTAAAAAATCATGTCACTAGAAGCAGAAGGCAGCCTGGGTAATATCTAGGAGACCCTTCCAAGCTGCATTCATTAATTTGTTGCACAGTTTTCAGCTAAGGAAGTGAAGACCACAAAAGGTTAAATTTCTCATATAAGATTAATTCAGCCATCTCTGTGAAATGGTGGGAGCAGAATACCATTAGACTCTCTAATCTCATTTCTCTCATGCTGTCTTTCTTGGAGCCTATCAAATAGTGTCCTGGCAGAGAGTCAGTTCTGTGGATGCTAAACATCAGAGTCAGTCTCTTTCTGAACGTGCCAAGAGGGCTGTAATTTAGAAAATGTAGCCTACCTTTTAAGGAAGGATGAAAAGGTACTAAATGCACCTTTCTTTGCATGTTAGATCCCAAATATTTTGGATATATTAAACACGTAATTCCTGTGTAATTTTATTTTCTGTTTTATTAGAGTTATTTGCATGACATATTAGAACAAAACTTATTAAAACTGTATTTGCAGATCCCCGGTGGTTTCATGAATACTGCTTGGGGTCCTAAACGTACTAACTAGATAAGATATGTGTCTTTTGAGTGTGTGACTATGCTTTCAAGATGCAAACGCGATAACAATTTTGTCCTTGTTTTAATTGCTCTTCTTCAACAACGCATGTGATTTTTCTTATCTGATTTAAGCCTTTTTTTGGTGGGGGGGTAGTATTAGCACTGCTATGTAAAAAACTAAATATACTTGGAAGTTAGATTTTTAGATTTTCTGTTAGTCCTGGTCCTTCGTCATATTGTCATAAATTAAAGAGGGGGGGGATGCCTACCAGGATTTTGAAGTTTTTTTTCCTCCTATTTAAAGTTTTATTTCTCCTATATAGCATCAAATGATGCCGGTTATTTTTGTGTTGACTATTTGGGACAAAGAGGCTCTCTTAAACGAAAGATAATTGCAAGCTTTGTCCCTTGCCTCAAGTTGACTGCAGGGTTTATATTCCCTTTGGTTATACAGAAATGAAATTATAAACCACCAGTAGCCTTGGAAATTTCAATCAATTCCAAATGACTAAATATTTAATTCAATCATTGCCTATACTTCCAGGGATGACTCGGGTGTTTTTCTTTTTACTGAGGGCTCCAGGAAAGCCAGGCTCTGCAATGGCTGCTGAGGACTGTGTCTGTTGTAAGGAGGCTCCCCTGCAGTGAGGAGCTGGGGCAAGCCTGTTCCATAGCAGTCTTTTTTGCAAATGGTAGTCGATTTTTGCAGAAGGTTTGTGGCCAGATCGCTATGTATAATACTGATGAAGCATTTTTGTTCCAGCTCTGTCTCGGAAGACCTAGGCTGTAGACGTGGGGATTTCAGTAGGAAACATTATGGATCTGTGGAGCTGGTAAGTTTACACTGTCTGTTCAGTGGTAGTACATTGATTTAGGTTTAGAGAGGATCACCAAGCTCATCAGATCTTTTGTTGTATATTTACTGTTAGACCATGTGAGTGCAGTATAAGGACTGGATGGGAATAAATGACTGTTGAAAGGCTATAATAATTTGATCGTGTTTATTTGTTTTTATTGTTACATACTTTTGATCTGTGTCTTCAGTTTCTTAAAAATATGTTGTGGCTTGATATTTTTCTCTGCTAATGGTGTATGTAATTAAATAAAATGATTTATGAATTAAGAAAGGTAGCATTTGGTTTTTATATCATCTTGTTCCTAAAAGTTTATAAATTTAGTTTTTGAGGTTTAAATATTATTGAAATACATATGCTGATTTTCTGTACCTTTGCTTTCTGGGTATGTGAAAGGAGTTAGAATATTTATGAGATCTTTTTTTCCTGTTAAAAGTATATTTGTTGGACTAGATAAATGACTGTAATAGATGATAGATATCTGGAATGAAAATATCCATATTTTCCTTAATGAGAGATACTGGGATTTGTGTTATGATTTTTAAAAATAGTATGCTTTCATTTTAAGAGAGGCATAATGAAGGCATATAATATCCTCAATTTTTTAAAACACAGAATTGTGATCTTTTTTCCAGCTGCATGGAAATTTGAACAAATTTTCAGGAAAATGTGCTCATAAAATTCTCTTGATTATTATTTAACACTATTAAAGACATTAAATTTATTATTTCTATTTACAAAAAATGAATTGATTGGACCCATTTGTATAGTACTCAATTATCTCCCATTAATATAAGCTGCATTTTTGCAGGGTTTAAGTAGTAGAAAAATTTATACCAGAGTTGTGTCCCAGTAGCATTCTTCTTGAATTTAAGCATGTATTACAGGCTTGATTGTGTACCTGGCCCAGGGCTGAACATTCTTGAAAATATAAAATAAGTAAAAGATTTGGTCCTTGTTCTTAAGGAGTTTACTGTCCTCCAGCTGGGCAGAGAAGATACATAAAATATTTAAAGAATGAATTTAGTCACATAAAAGACACGTTGATTGACTCAATCCGTGTTTGTTCTGTGTCAGTCACAGGTGACATCATGCCAACTCAGACCACCGCCTCTCCTGAAGGAGTGTGTGCATGACTATAATTCAGGGTGGGAATTGGTAAATATTATGGGTGGTATACAGATACGGCACGGTGGGGGCTGAGAGAAGGGAGGGAGCAACCCATGCTGGCCAGGGATCTTGGGGAAGCAGCTTTGGAAGGCCTCGTGGAGGCTATGGGATGTGGGTTGGTGGCAAAGAAGATAGACAGTAGATATTTGCAAACAGCATGATTTTTGGCAGTGATGTATCTGAGAGGCAGTGAGCAAATGGTCCTGCCTAACAGAAAGTGTAAAGCAGCAGAGCTTAGTGGTTACAAAACAAGTAGGCTTTGGAATCAGACAGGCCTGGGTTCACATACCAGCTCTATCATTTATCTCCGTGAACTTCTCTGAACCTCAGTGGTCTTTAAGAGCTTGTGCTCTAAGTCATTCTTGTTTCATCATGTACTAGTTGTATGATCTTGGACTTCTTTTGACCTCAGTCTTCTCCTCTATGAAATGGGGATATTAATATTATCTACCTTATAGGGTTGTTAGGAGAATTAAATGAGATGATACACACAAGCATGGTCCATGTTAACTGGCCGGAGTAGCGAAACTAGAACCTTGACTCTCAGGTGAAGATTTTGAACCCGATCTAATAAGTAATATGGAGCTCTTATAAACAGCGAGAGTGGTGTTTGGGGGAGACAACATAGGTATGAAAGATGGACCCTTTATAGACTTGTGGAAATCACCGAATATCCGACAGGGAAGGTACTTGAGAGCAGTGGTTTCAAACTTGAGAGGGCATCAGAATCACGTGGAGAATTTGTTACAACAGATTGCTGGGCCCCGTCCCCAGAGTTTCAAATTCAGTAGGTCTGGGGTTCACCCAGAATTTGCATTTCTAACAAGTTCTAGGATAGTATTGATGCTGCTGGTCCCAGGACCACTTGAAGAAACCCTGCCTTAGAGAATCTCACACTGGTCATCAGTTATCCCCAGCTGCTGAGGCAGCGCAGTGACCAAAAGTTCTTCAATCTATTTGTTCACATTTTTACTCTGGAACCATGATTGTGTGTGTGTGTGTTTCTAATTGACTTTTTAAACTATTATAAAGTAAATTTTAAATACGTTTTAAAATTCCATGTATAATTTCTCTGCCTTGCAACAACTGTTTTCATCTCCTTTTGGTCCTTTCCAATTTTTATAGCTACAAACCTCATTTCTACGTGGTTGTAGTCAAATTATATATATGATTTTGCATTCCTCTTTTTTCCGTTTAACTGTATTTTGTAAATGTCTTCTTCTTGTTATATGGTCGTCAAGTTACCATTTTAATTGGTGCATGATAGCCCAATATTGTGATAAACAGTGATGTGTTTAACAGTTTCCCTCCTTTTGTAAAATTAGATTGTTTCCAGTTTTCCCCTGTTAGAAATGACTTGGATGAGTGGTTGGAATGGTTGAGAAAAATGAAATGAGCCAAGTTCCATTTTTGCTGTCTAAGGATGTCTTGAAATTCTGACTCCAGTGTTTTAAGGAAGGAGACATTTTCTCTCACCTGTGAACAACAGAGTGTTATTAAATTAAAAACCATTTTATGTGTTCTGTGTTTATGAGAAAGTGAATTTAACTTTTCTTACAGCTGGTTTGATGAATATTATTGGGAGCCCAATAAATCTTGGGCATCCTGGGACTCCAGCTTTGTAGAGGGGCAGCCAGGATTCTGTAAAACTGAAGTTTTAGCATCAACTTCCCCTGATCTTGAACAGATTGGGGGGAAGTCCTTGTGAAGAACTAAGCTTGGCCATTCAGATCAGTAATGAGCGCAGATCTAGGGACTTAGTGCCCTAGGTTTAAACTGGGCATAAATTTGGTGAGTGAGAACACGGAAGCTCAGACCTCCACAGACTCATGGGAGAGTTTCTCAGCCCTTGTTCGATACTTGTTTATGGAAGGCCTACCACCACGTGTCAGGCACTGTGCTAGGCACTGCGGGGGAAGGAAAAAACCCTGCTCTCATGGAGCTAGAGTCTAGCTTTAGAAACCAACTGCCCAAACTTTTAGTCTCCAAGCTTCCTCGTAGCTGGATCCCAGCTGTGTTCCCTGCCTTAATCAGGGATTGTTTCGTTGCGTGGACAGAGATCTACTCAGTCCAGCTCAAGGATGAAGTCATTCACTGAAAGGATGTGGGTGCATCTCACAGAAATGAAGTGCAGGGCGCACAGCTGGGCCTCATGTGACTGGGAGCCATCAAGCAGCTATTTTCTCTCTTTCTCTCTGGTCCCTATGATTTCTCAGCGTGTCTGAACCATTCTCCTCTCTGCAGGCCAGCTTCCGCTGATTGCACAGTTGCCTCTCTCCAGTCCATTTTTCCCAGCAGTGGTGGTTTTTTAATACTTTTTTTTATGGTGGTAAAATATACACAACATAAAATTTACCATCTTGAAGTGTACAATTCAGGGGCATTAAGTACATTCACAGTGTTATGCAACCATCACCATTATCCACTTTCAGAACATTTGTCATCATCTCAAACAGAAACTGTACCCATTAAACAATAACTCCACATTCCCTGCTATCCCTAGCCCCTGGTAACCTCTATTCTATTTTCTGTCTCTAAGAATTTGCCTATTCTAGGTACTTCATATAAGTGGAATTATACAATATTTGTCCTTTTGTGTCTGGTTTATTTCACTTAGCATAATATTTTCAAGTTCATCCATATTATAGCATGTATCAGAATTTCATTACTTTTTATGGCTGAATAATATTCCATTGTGTGTACATACCACATTTTATCTATTCATCTATCAATGGACACTTGAGTTGTTCACATTTTGTAGCTATTGTGAACAATGTTGCTATGAATGTTGGTGTTCATAGTTCTTTGGGGTATATTAGCTGGAGTGGAATTACTGGATCATATGGTAATTCTATTTTTAACTTTTGAGGAACTCCCAAACTTTTTTCCATAGTGACTGCACCATTTTACATTTCTACCAGCAATGCACAAGGGTTCCAGTTTTTCACATTCTCACCAGCACTTGTTATTTTCCTTTTTTTAAAATAGCCATCCTAATTGGTGTGAAGTGGTGCCTCATTGTTTTGATACGCCTTTCACTAATGATGAATGATGTTAAGCATCTTTTCACGTGCTTATTGGCCATTTGTGTATCTTTGGAGAAATGGTATTCAGGTCCTTTGCCCATTTTTTAATTTGGTTGTTTCTTTTGTTGTTGAGTCCTAGGAATTATTAATATATTCTGGATATTAATTCCTCATAAGATAAATGATTTGGAAATATTTTTTCCTATTATGTGGATTGTGTTTTTACTCTGTTGACAATGTCCTTTGATGCACAAAATTTTTTAATTTTCTTGAAGTCCAATTTATTTATTTTTTCTTTTGCTGTCCATACTTTTGCTGTTATATCCAAGAAATCATTGCCAGATTCAATGTCATGAGGATTTCCCATTATGTTTTCTTCTAAGAGTTTTATAGTTGTAGATTTTACGTTTATGTCTTTGATCCATTTTGAGTTCATTTTTGTATACGGTATAAGGTAAGAGTCCAACTTCATTCTTTTGCACGTGGATATCCAGCTTTCCCAGCACCATTTGTTGAAAAGACTGTCCCTTCCCTGTTGAATGGTCTCGGCATCCTTGTTGAAAATCAATTAGCCATATATGCAAGGGTTAATTTCTGGGCTTTCTGTTCTATCTCATTGGTCTGTAGACAGGGGTCTGTCCTTATGCCAGAGTGATGTTTTAAAATGTTGACAACACAGTGTCTTTTCTTACTTAAAACCCTTCATTGGCTGCCCATTGCACTTCAAGTCCACACCCTTTACAAAGCCTTACAAGAACCCGCGTGATCCCTCTTCTGCCTTCC